GGGGGGAGGAGGGGGGGGGGGCGTAGGAGTAGGCGCTGGGGGGGAGTCCCGGGAGGAAGTGTTCGCGCGAGAAGAGCCCTCCCCGGGGTTCTTCCGGGGCTTCAAAGTTTCCTTTTTGCATTTCATTTTCATAAATTGCAGATTCTGCACTTCTGGGATAAGGCCGCGGCCACTCTGGCCGCGGCGGCGGGGCGGCGGCGCGCGCGTTCTCGGGTGTACGTACACCTGCGTCCGGCTCCAGGTCGCTCCCCCGCGCCCGCGCCTCCGCCGCCTCCGCCCGCGGCTTCCGCGCGGACTTTAAAGGTTTAAATTGAGAATAAATAGTAAAAAGAAGAAAACAAATCAGCAGAAGTGCAGGCAAACGGGCCTGGGGCTGCTGCTTGCAGCCCCGGCCGCTCGCGGGGAGGCTTTCTGCAAAGACCGGCTGCGCGGGCGCGTGAGCGCCCCCCTCCAGCGCAGCCATTTCCCTTTCTCTTTGCAATTCCTCTTCAGTTAAGTCTTTGCCGAATTTATTAACAATGAAAGGGTCATTTTGAGCCGCCAGGAGGGCCAAGTCGAGCTCCCTGGCCCGCCGCAGCAGCGAAACCCGAACTGGCTCCAAGACCCCCGGAGCCCCCGAACTGGGGAAGCTTTCGAGGTAAGAGAAGCGCCTCATCACGGGAGGCACAATCTGGCTAAGTGCAGACACCATCCGCGCGGGATTGCCTTCTCTTGCCACTTCAAAAAGAATCTTTTCACTTTCACTGACAAGTTTTTCGAAGTGCAGAAGCATCAGCTTCGTCCACAGCTTTCCCCCCTCGGGTGTATGTCCAGCGGACCCCACCACGCCCGCGAGCTTCGCCGCCAGCGCCGCCACTTCTGCTTCTCCGACTCTCGCTTTGCCCTGCTGCTCCCCGCTGCTGCTGCTGCTGCTGCTGCTGCTGCTGCTGTGCGCAGCAGCGCCGCTGCTTCGGAGGCCCAAGAAGGGGCTTCTCAGCTGCGCAACAGCCAGGCAAAAGTGCCGCAGCAAAGCTGCGCGCAGCAGCAAAGAGGGGTGGCCTAAAGCCCTGGCCAGGCGGTGCAGCGAGCCCCAGGGGCGGAGCTGCTGCGGGGCAGCGCCGGCTGCTGCAGCGTGGACGTGGAGGTAGGGGGCTGCAGCAGCTGCTGCAGTTGCTGCCGCCTGCGCTGCTGCTGCTGCTGCTGCTGCTGCTGCAGAGCCTGCGCCCGGCCCCGCCCCCCACTGCGGCCCCCCCTCCCCAGGCCTGCTGTACAAAGGAGCATCTTCCCAAGGGGAGGTTTGTCTTAAGTAATAAGAGCCGTCGGGGGCGAGAGTGGCTGCGTCTGCGGCTGAGTCGGCAGCTGCAGCGCGCCTGCTGCCAGGCCAAGCCGCCTCTGCTGCTCGGGGGCCCCTCGAGATCGCCGCCGACAAAAGAAAAAGCAAAAAACGCATTTGGACTTTGCAAAAAAATTGCAAAGACTGCGCGCGGGGCCGGAAACTGTGCAGGGGAGGCTCGTGGGTCGCAGTGGCGGGAACCACAGACACCGGAAAGCTCGGGACTTCGCGGCGGACTCGGCGGAGAGCTGCAGCTTCGCATGCAGCCGATTAAACAGTTTATAATATTCAAACTAACTCAAAACTCTGCAATAAATGCGCCAAACGCCGCGGGACAGACAGAGCACAAGTCCGCGGAAGCCCTGCCCGCCGCTCTGGCCTCTCCGCAGCAGTTGACCGACGCACGGCCAGCACTCAGACGAAGGGCCCACTTTCGCGGAGATCTCCGAGTTATTGCACTTATTTGAAAGTTTAAAATGCTTAATTATTCGTTATTTGTCGCAAAGAACAGCTGCGGTTGTCCACAGACCCGCAGCTGCTGCGCGGCTCGGATCGGCGAGCGGGTGTTCAACTTCTGTCGTGTGGTGAGCGAGGCTGTTCGGCGTTTGCTGCTCTGCTTCCCCTCCTTCTGTTCTCCAAAGAAGTTCCCGAGCTTTAATTTACTTTTGAAAAAGCACTGAGAAACAGGATTGAGGGAAGCGACGCGATCTTTCCGCCCCTGCAGCCTGCACTGTGATCTGTCTTGAATCGAAGTCGATTCGGACCCGACTGCCGGCGATTCTGCAGACGACACCCTTCACTGTGCTTCAAACTTGCTCGGAAAAACATTTAATTCATAAAGCATGCAGAAGACTCTCTGAGAGGTGCCCGTGGCTGCGGATCAGGGGGTGTGCTCTGCCTCGCATTGAACGGATCGCAGCAAATGCATGCGAGCAGCAGACCACGCTGCGCAGTGCAATGTCAGTGCAGTGTTGCTGCAGTCTACAGTGCAGTTTCAGTCATTATGGCCCTGCAGAGGGTCCCGTGCAGCCTTTCCTGGCCTGCCTTCTGCGCAGAACAGAGCACGCCTCCCGATCCCTAGCTGTAAGCACCTCCCTGGAGGTCTTGTGCCTCCTATATTGCAATTTGTTTGCCTGTCTTGCGATTTTTAGCGCCTAATAAACCTATTATCCAGCTGGCGGAGTCCCATTTACCCCAATGCGGCTGTTTCTGCACGGGTGGGCAACACGGGCTGCTGCTAGTGCTAAACTGTCGATTCAGGCTCATGTTCAAGATGCCTATCTTGCTCTTAGTTGCTACTCTTATCAAGCTTCCCGATCCGCACATATTGGCTCTTTAAAGACTTGCAGTGCATCAACTTGCATGCGTGCACTAAGCACTTTCCTGTTGCACTCTTCCATGGTATGACTGGCAATTATGACTGGCAATCCGCATGCAGATCAGCCCAAACTGCAGCTTCCTTGACGTGGCTTCTGCTTCCACTCTATCTGTTTCAAATGCCTTTAGTCTTTGCTGGCAGAATCGATTTCTTTCGTAGACGAAATGGGCAATGCTCCTCGCAAGTCCAGCTTCCCACTCTGGGCTCTCAGTTACGGAGTGATGTGTTCAGTCGCCACAGGGTCCAAATCCACGAAAGTCCTTTCTAATTGGAAAAAGAAAATGCAGCTAATAGGAAAATGACTCAGTCAATTTGCGGGGGAGGCAGAGGGGCACCTGGGCAGTTAGTAGCGAGTTGTGGAGAGGGGAGTTGAGTGACTCGCAGTGGGCTTCAGCTTGGAGGGAAGTTTAGGATTGCTTTAAGTCCTTGGAAACGGTAAAGTGCAATTTATGAGAATTAAAAGGGTTTCTAGGGAAAGAAAATGGCAAAGGATAGAGCGAAGACTCAAATAACAGAGGATAAACACAAGACTCGAATAACAGAGGATAAACACAAGACTCAAATAACAGAGGATAAACACAAGACTCAAATAACAGAGGATAAACACAAGACTCGAATAACAGAGGATAAACACAAGACT